TTGTATTTAGATTTTGAAAGTCAAATATATATGAATTTTGTACATATTCAGAATTGGGTACATTTGGGTACATTTTACCAAATTTGTTTGGCACATCAACATATTTGGTTGCAGCAACATTGAGGATGATGTAATAATGTAACGTCTCTTGAGGTCAAAAATAGATTTCTAGAAACGAATACTTCCTAGAAAACAAATTTGGATCATGTTTTAGTTTATAAAAAAAAGGAACCATTTTCCTACCAGTACTTCGAAATTTTTTCGCTTTTGTGGATTGAAATTTTAAAAACTTTTAATACATTTAATAGATTATTCTTTTTTAATTTCTTTGGAATTTTGACAATTTCCTGACGAAAAAAGAAAAGCTGAGAAATTTATGATAAATTGTTGTAAAGCTCTTGGTGGTATTAAAGCACGACTAGTTTTGTCATTATGTGTGATAATCAAGTATATGAAAGTTAAATTGATAAAATGGATATGATTCTATTGTCTCAGCTCTTCCTAGGTCTCTTATCTTCTTTCCTGTTCTTTTTATTTCTGTTTATAAGTTTGTTCTATCTACATACAGTTTAGTGGCTTTTCTCAATTTTTGTACCCAAATCTTTTCGTTTTACATCTGTATTTGTTCCACTTTCCAGATAGTTTTTTTAAGAAACGTCATTTTTTTAGAATTTCCCAACGGGTGGTGGTCCAAACTGGTCGGTATACGTATCTAGTTTTGAAATAGGAATGAACATCGTTGTCAGATAATTAATTCACTTGTTTTTTTATATATTACATTTAATTAGAAAGTAAAAATTTCCAGAACAATTATTTCGTTATTTAATATAGATGAAATATATAAGAAGTCGTTCTACTTGATGTCTTCAATCATTAGATTCGTTCAGTGGCATCTATCTATCGAATGAGAATAATTACAAAATACCGTTGCTTACTCTAGACATTCTTAAATGATCATTTCTTATAAGGAAATCTAAATTTAGATTTCTTTTCCATGTATAACCATCGCATGTACTAGTTAATGACGAAATAATATCCTAGACTAACAGTAGTTTAAAAAAAACACACTTTTATTCTTTTTGCAATCTTTGTAAGGTACCGGTTCACAAAAAACTTGATGTTATACTAAAATTATTCATTTAATTTTTTTGTAGTGTTCTTTAGTACTGACAGTTTAATTATATATCACTACTAACCCATATTTTAATTATTTTTTTTTTCAATTTCAATTTCGTTGTTTTTACTTTTTAAAATATCAACATTGTTTTTCTAATATATTCTATAAATCTATTCATAGACAAAATATTATTAAGCACAACCAATAAGTTGATAGAAACAGATATATTTTAAACACCTTTATTAACTGTATTAGAGGTCACAATGAAAACGAAGAATCTAAAAATAAAGTAGTGTTCCGAGTTTTTTATACAGTATATCAATATGAATTTCCCAACTTAATAAATTGTTAATGTGAACGCCTAAGAAATTTGTATACTGAACTTGATGGATTTATTTACCACCTATTCTCATTAAATGGCTCTCATAAATATCATTAACCCTGTGAATAAAATAAATAAACACGGTTTTTTCTTTATTATCCTCTAACCATCGTACCAACTTGTCTATTCTAAATTGAAATTCAATAGCTAATTGCGAGATATCATTATTGCAATATAGATAGGAAGTATCATCTGCAAATAATACAATATTACCATCATTAACCGACAATGATAAGTCGTTAATAAAAAATAAAAATAAAAGTGGCCCAAGGACAGAGCCCTGAGGAACTCCACAATTAATTAAACGTATTTCTGATAGACGAGAGCTAACAACTGTTAGCTGATTTCTCTCAGATAAATAGGAAGATAACCATTCACCAACTCTTCCTCTAAAACCATACTTACCAAGTTTAACATTAAGTAGATGATCTACTAGGTCAAAGGCTTTGCTTAAGTCCATAAAAATACCTATACTCTTTTTGTTTTTATTTAAATTATCATAGAGGTAATTAAGGATGCTGATAACGGCAGTTTGAGTAGATCGACCTTCCCTGAACCCATGCTGACTATCATGAAATACATTATATTTTACGGCGAAGACTACCATTTTCCTAAACATAATTTTTTTCTAATATTTTTGAAATACTAGATAACATATACTATATAGATCTATAGTTATCCATAAGTGATACATCACCTTTTTTAAATAGTGGTATAAATTAAATATCTTCGGAAAAACACCTACTTGGTAAAATCTGTTAATTAGGAAGGTTAGTGGTCCAATAATATAATAAGCAACATATTTAAGAATATTGAAACTAATTTGATCAATTCCACAAAAATTAGGTTTTTTTCAACTCTATTATTGTATTGAACACTTCTGTTTCTGTAATCGGGCCAATGAAAATAGATGGTAAAATATTTATGATTTTACATTGCTCAGAAGAAGATTGATAATTAACATCATTTTGTAATAACCTGGTAGAAGCATTTTTACAAAAAAGTCATTAAATGAATTTGCTATGTGACAGGAATCATAAATTTTCTCGTTATTAATAAAAATATCTAAGATTTTAGCAGAATTTCGCGACTTATTGATTAAGTCATCATTATTAATTGACCAAACCGCTTTTGATTTATTAGAGGTAAAGTAGTATACTCGGTTTTTTCCTAATCTTTTGGCAGCTGCACAGACTTTTCTATAAATCGTTATATATCTACTGTAATAATTTTCATGATCAGTTGAATATGAAGCTACTTTAAGGCGATATAGAAGTTTTAGTTTTTGTGAAGAAATGCGTATACCGTTTGTAATCCAGTTAGATTTACATTTTGCTTTATGTTTAATAGAGACTAGTGGAAAACAGATATCCATATAATAAAGGAGAATTTTAGAAAACGCTCTAAAAGTATCTTCAATATTTACGGTTTGATATATACCATTCTAAGATTCATTTATAATGTGTGTTACACTCCGTCCTGGAATTAAAATCCGAATCACGTCACGTCAGAAAACATCTCTCTCTGGCTCGACATTCGCCAGGCCGCAGTCGGCTGTCGGTTTGCCCAAACGGTCTTGACTTTTTTAACGCACATTTTTAAGTTATTTTATGTAGTTCAGTGTTCATTGTTTTGTTGAAAGAAATATAATCATTAAAATACAGTCCACTATTTATTGAAACCACTTTAAGAGAAAATAAACCCAACAATGTGCTGTAAAAATAAATTGTAATTCTTATTATTAAATATACGTCTCACTGATATTTTTATAGATTCAACTTTACTATTTAACTTAAAGACAGCTAATTGACCAGATAGATCATTCTTCAGAACAGCCGTTGAGTCTAGACAAAAATCATCATCAACGTTGCTACATTTACTCTGGTGGGCTCTTTTATATGGCTTAAAAGGTTGCAAGAATAAAGTAAATCAAATCACTAGTTAAAAAACTTAAGTATATTAAGATGGCCATTTAAAATTACATAACAATCGGAATTAAATACATAATCTAAAACGCAATCTAGGACTCTAAAAAAATTTATTAATATTGCCAACTGTTGAACGATAAATACATATAATTCTAATGATTTTATTATAATGAGAAAATTTTAGCTCTGTACCAACAATCCCACATGGTAACGGAACTGACAATTGCTTTTTAATATAAATGTCTTTAATATTTATGCTTAAACTGGATGTATACATAATTAGTACACCTCCATTTTTTATATTGGTTCTACAGAATGATGTACAAATATCATAATTTTTAATTTTTACCATCTGCAATTCGGAATCTTTCAACCAGTGTTCAGTAATGTATGCTATATCAATTTTAAGCTTCTTCAACTCAATTTCAAATAAATAAAATGTATTCCTTAAACATTGATCATTTTGATGAAAAACCCTGAGCTGAGTAAAGCATTGGTTTCTTTGAACAATCCGTCGTGGTGAGCTGACAGTCCGTCGATCGCTGAAGACAGCTATTTTCGCCCAAAGTGGTTTGTTAAATATAGAAAATGAGACCTTCTCTATGTATTATGAATGTAAACGAAAGGTACTAAAATGGACGCAAATAAATTGTTTGCGTTGTTATTATTGTTGGAAGAGAAATAACAAGAGCAACTGGCATTTGCAACCGACAAAGTTTCCAATAAGCCAGTGGATAAGTTGTTTTTGTGTCGCGATACAGAAGGTGCCTTTAATATCACTGTGCAGCGGAGGCTTTTTGGAAATGAAACCAAATTTAGGGAGTATTTTAGACTTTCTACAGATCTTTTTGAATTCGTGTTCAGTTTTATAAAGGACGACATTTCCAAGAAACCTTCAAATAGTCATAAAGTCATATGTATATGTGAATTTGTCACTCCTTGTTTTAAAAATAATAACAATATAATTATTTGTATTCATTCACAAACTGTCTCCGCACACGTCGACGATTCCGCTGTCAAACTCAACAGATAAGAACCGACTAGTCGCAATAAATCAGCGGTATGACGCCGTCCTGATCAGCTAAACGGATTCTAGAAAACCATTCCCATTTAAATACTCTGGTTGGATAAAATCGTGGAAACGCGACGGTCGACAAACTATCCGCTCACCGCGACGGAGTGTTCAAAGAAACCAAAGCTAAATATTTAATATTCTTTGTTACTTTGTAATTGAATAATTATTTTTTTGTTTTTGAATATCAATTTTCATCTGAAGGGTAGGACAAATATGGTCAAAAATACTATGATAAACATTAAAGTTAGTTTTCATATTTGAATTTGCTTCTATACAATTGTTACATTTAGACACGGAACTTGTACATTTATCTGTGAGATGATGTGGATCACAACACTTTAGGCACTTTCGCACACTATCTCATTTATCCCTATGCTATCTAAAGCCACCTCAATTAAAGCATCTATAGACAGCTACATAATCAAAGACACGACATCTTGCCCAATTAACATACACCTTCTTTTAGTATATTTTCATATGACTGTGGATTACAAACAATTATAGCCATGAATTTAGACTTGATTTTTTAAAAAATTCTAATAGAGATATATTAGAATCATCATCATTTAAAAAACCATTCTGCTTTTTAATACAATTTATTAAATCTTTAGGAGACATTTCATTTCCTATATCCGCAACTTTTATGGAGGGATTTTTTAAATGTAGTGACACAATATTATAACTCTTAGATAATTTCTTTTCGACAGCAGATTTAACCTTTTCAATTTTATTTTTAAAATTGCATTTAATAACTACACCACTATCTTTTACCTTTCTTATTTTATTAATCCCTATTTGTAACGAAGTTGGATTTAAATACTTTTGAATAGCTTCGAATGTTTTTTTGCTACAAGCTTGATCAGTATTTTTAGGCTTAATAATAACTACTTCTCCTGCAGCTTGAGCATAGCTCTTCAAGTTTTTAGGATGATTAAGGTTTTGAGAATTGTTTTCGTATTGTGTCGGAAACATTTCTTTTAACTTACCAATTTCTACAGAAACAGACTGCTTTAGTGACTCAATTTCGTAACGAAGACCTCCATTATTATGTACTTCATCTAAACATACATCACACAACCATAGCATACTATTTATCTTTTGCATAACTTGAATGTCTGAAGTTGAAAAATTTAGACATTTGGAGTGAAACTTATTTTTGCACTTGCCTGCACATGTAATTATAGAATACGTTATTTTAACTTTTCTATCACACTTACAACATTCCTCCATGGCGACACGACACGAAGTAAAAACTAGCTAGCCAGCCACTGGTGCACAGGCACTCCAACCTATATTATTTTGGACCTCAAGATACGTTCCATAACAAAATATTGTAATTACAACAGTTTCACTGCAGTTTTATGTCGGAATGGGACGTTTCGACGCGGCCGTTTCGACGCGAGGACATTTCGACGCGAGGACATTTCGACGCCGGCCGATTCTACGCCGGGCCGTTTCGACGCCAAATGTAAATTTTTTTAAGTAGGTAATAAATTATTAAAAAAAAAATATTTGAAATGTCCATTTTTTTGCAGATCTATTCTTTGTATAAAATTGGGTAATTTATCTTGTTCTTTAAATATTCGCAGTAAGCATTGATAGATAGCTGCAGTAAATATGTAACTATTAGCTGGCTTATGTTCTTATATCTATGAAAGGCATAAACAATTAATTTCTAAAAATTAGGTACCTAAAAAGATTTTTAATGAATTACCTAAATATTAACATTGATACATAATGTTATATTAAGTAGTTCATTGTCCCATTTTAGGTACCTGATCCTAGTTAAATTAAACAGTTAACTAATTTTTGATCTTAAATGTCGATAATTCATTTCCATTACAATATATAACTATATACAGGGTGTTTCTAAATTCATGCAACAAAATTCAGGAGGTGATTGCTCGTATGAAATTAAGATGGGTCTTTCCCAAAACAAAATTTCCTCAGCCCACCCCTTTCCGAGATATCACCCTTAAAAGGTGGTGACTAAAATTGAGTTTTATTTTTTTTTTCTAAAATTTCAGTAAAGCTACAAACTTGAAATTTTGTAATTTTCGTGCACTTGTAAAGGACTAACGTCGGGTATTTTTTCAGTATTATAAATCGTATTAAATTTTACATCTTTACTGTTTTCCACTCAATTTATTAAAAAAATTATAAATTATGGTGTTTATTTTTTTCTCTGAAGCTATTGGTTTTGGGAAAAAAATTTAGGAATAAAATTTTTTTTTTAAATAAAACAAGGATTTTAAGTTATAATTTTATTTCATGAAACTTCATCTCGAAAAAAAGTTTTGATATGAAATAAAATAAGGGTTGTTAATTTCACCCCCCCCCCCCTATAATGTAACAAGAATATTGAAAAAATATCCAAGGGTTAGTCCTTTGCGAGTGCACGAAAATTATAAGTTTCTAGCTTTACTGAAATTTTAGAAAAAATAAATAAAAACTCAATTTTAGTCACCACCTTTTAAGGGTGATATCTCAGAAAGGGGTGGGCTGAGGAAATTTTGTTATGGGAAAGACCCATCTTGTTGATGGGGCATTTAAACCAACTGCCTCAATTTTTTACCTACATAATTATGGCTAAATAATTTGGAGGAGTTCATCTTGTTCTTTATGCTCTCCTGCCCAACAAACGGAAAACTGCATTATGCCAAAATTATTGGTATGATGGAACATTTACAGCCAGATACAAATCCGGAGAAGATTTCATGCGATTTTGAACTGAATATTATAAACGCTTTCAAAGAAGAGTTTCCAAATGCAGAGCTAAAGGTTGTTTTTTTTTTGGCGTAAATGAATTAGCTGGGTCGATATAATACCGATGCTGATTTCAGTCTTCATGCACGAATGGTGACATGTTTGGCATTTGTTCCTGATTAAGACATGGATATTGCAATCGACCATTTATTTTGAGAATTGTTTAAAGAGTTGCAATCGCTAATAGAATGGTTCGAGGACTCATACGTAGGACGTCCTCAACGACAGGGTCGAAGAAGGCGCAATCCACTCTTTCCGATCACATTGTGGTCTGTCTACAACCGTGTTTTGGAGGGTACAGACAGAACGAACTACCACGCCGAAGCTGCACACAGACGACTTGTCCATGTCCAAGGGTAATCCAACGATATGGAAATTTAAAAAACATCGCGATTATGACGAGAGGATTTTAAAAATCGTTATCGATTATAAAAATAAAAATATATCATGCATTCTTAATAATAAAATTAAAAGAGACATTTTAAATGTATTATTTTGTATGAATTATTACCTATCTAAAGAAAATACAGTTGGCGTCGAAACGGCCCGGCTTCGAAACGGCCGGCGTCGAAATGTCCTTGCGTCGAAACGGCCACGTCGAAATGGCCGCGTCGAAAAGTATTCAAACATATGATACTGAAATTATATTATTAATTCACTTATAACTTGGAAAATTAGCATTTGAAATTTTGTAAACAATAAACAGGTGTTAGCGGTTGGAGCACTATACCACCTATCAAATTCATTAAAAAACTTTGTCTTTTGAGCTTAAAATTTTACTAAATACGAGGGTGGATCAATAAGTATCCGGGTTTGAAGGCAGGTGGCGTTGCTGAGGGAAGTTGGCATTACTGTCATCTGTCACACGACACCATACTAAATTTCAAACTGATTCATAGGTTGGTTTTTATTTGGCAGCCACTTGTACCATACGTGTTTCGCATGAATCGATAAAATGGAAAAAGAACGATATCGATCTGTAATTCGCTTTTTATTTTTGGAAGGAAAAACATGCAATGAAATAAAAGCAAAGTTGGATGCTGTCTATGGGGACCCTTCACCATCTATGACAACCGTAAGATATTGGTTCAACGAATTTAAACGTGGTCGTATATCTGTTTTTGATGAGGAACCACCAGGTCGCCGGCAGCGAATTGACATTGTTTACTTTGCTACAACAGATACATGTTGTTGCAACGCTTTAAAGAATGACTGAACAGTCGCTCTCTACATCCAGACAAATCTTACTGCGACTCAGCACTAGCACGTGTTCAGACGTAGTAACTATTGTATTATGGATATGGATACGCCTGCCCTTCTCGATGCATTGTTTACCGCGTTGCAGTCGAAACCACGCAAATTTACTTTCTTTTGTGATTTTGTAGGACTATATCATAAAAATATCGTAATAATATACTATCGTCAAAAAAAGTTTATTAAACCACGCTAAAATACAAAGAACACAATAAATATAAAATCCACTAGTCATATTTTTTTTGTTTTCTCCTGGGCTCGTCTGACTATGTCTCCGAATAACACTGAAGCCTATTGACTTATCGTGTTTTACCCCATGTTAGTTCATAGCACCCACTCTGCCACCTTTGTACCTTGTACAAATTTGTAAAGATCCTTGAGTGAGTGGGTTCTATACGTTGTTAAATCAACCTGTCTTTTGCGATCTAGAGTTTCGCATTCGCACAGTATGTGTTTGGCCGTTTCTGGTTTCTTGTGACATAGTCGGCACATGAGTTCCCCATTGTACATGCCAATTTTGTTCAAGTGTCACTTTACTGGGACGTGCCCAGTCATGAACCCTGTTATCACTTTCAACTGGTTCCTATTCATAAAGAGTAGTTCTCCAGTTCTTTTGGGACATGGTCTGCCTATGAAGTTGCATTTCTCCATCGTCCTGTAGAAAAGTTACCTACTTACAAAGCGGGCGTGTTAAGCGAGTGTGTAAGCAAGCATTGTAAATTACAAAGCAATGGCTAAGTTACAACCAACCCCATCACTAGTCATATTACATTTATATTATTTAAAACAAAAAAACTGTTATAAAATGGTAAGCATAGGAAGTTTAATCCTAGTGGGCATTTCCATGTCTTTTCGCATTTGGTCTATTAAGATCAATATTTTTCTTTAAAGATCGTTGTCTTTTAAGGTTGTTTGGTATCTCCTACTTGGATGGCCTCCCAGCTTGAATGCTCGATGTTGAGTTGGAAAGCGGTAAACAATGCCTCGAGAATGGCAGTGTATTCATAATACAATAGTTACTACGTCTGAACCCCTGCCAGTGCTGAGTCGCAATAAGATTTGTTTGGATATAGAGAGGCGACTGTTCAGTCATTCTGTACCACGTTGCAACAATATGTATGCTTTGTAACATAGTAAACAATGCCAATAAGCCGCCTGGTAGACGTTGTTACCGAGTAAATCGTTAAAAAGGTCCAAGACATGATTGTCGCAGATCGCCGAACGAAAGTGCGAGAAGTAGCAGAGGCCGTAAGCGCATCATACGGAACGGCAATTAATATTTTGCATGATAAGTTAAACATGAGAAAGGTATCGGTCCGATGGGTCCCGCGATTGCTTACAGTGGACAACAAGCGGATACGGCTGTCAATGTCGAAGCAGTGTTTGGAGCTCTTTAATCGAAATTTGCAAGAGTTTTTGCGTCGAGTTGTCACTGCTGATAAAACCTGGATACATTATTATGCGCTAGAGACCAAAGGACAGTCGAAGCAATGGATTTTTCGGGATGAATCTGCTCCGAAGAAAGCAAAGACGGTCCCATCGACCGGAAAGATCATAGCCACGATTTTTTGGGATTCCAAGGGAATAATCCTCATCGACTTTTTGCAAAAAGGAAGTACGATCACAGGGCAGTACTATAGTGAATTATTGGACCGATTCGATGCAAAATTGAAGGAGACACGGCCTCATTTGGCTAAGAAAAAAGTCCTGTTCCACCATGATAACGCACCAGCACATTCAAAGAGAATCGCGCGGTCAAATTGCAAGAACTGCAGTACGAATTGCTGCCGCACCCACCGTACTCGCCCGACTTGGCTCCATGCGACTTTTTTCTATTCCCCAAATTGAAAACGTGGCTCGGGGGAAAAAATTCAGCTCTAACGAGGTGAGTATCGTCGAGACTGAAGCGTATTCTGGGGAGTTCGAAAAATCATATTTTTTGGAGGGGTTAACTAAATGGCAGAAACGTTGGGAAAAGTGTATAGCACTAAAAGGAGATTATGTTGAAAAATAGAAATAAATTTTTTTGAAAAACTTGCCTCTTCCTTTCTAACATGGGTACTTTTTGATCCACCCTCATATATTCAAATCTTTAATTCACACATATAAAACTAATTAAATCAGGCTTTTCCTACGATAGGAGAAATGTCGTCGTTTGACAACTGGTTCCTGAAAATTTGAAGGTTGGGTTGGTTATAATAGAAGGACTATGCCGACAAATTAGTTCTCTTGAACGGAGGAGTAACTCTTAAAATTCATAATATTGGGTACATATTATACTTCAAAAACTTCATCAATTTTACCAATAAGAAATTCGAACAAGTACGTCGAGAACTATTGAATATCAAATATTGAGAGACTGACGGTGGTATTTTTTTTTTTTTTTTGTTATCCACCTGTTTTTACAATATTTTGATTATAATAGTAAAATAAGTATTTTGACTTCACAGAATGAACGAATAACTTCCAAAAGTACTTAATGGAGATTTTATAGAATTAGGTATTTATAACTTCAACACCCTGTAGTTCAAAATCTACTCATAAGATTGGATTTTGAGCCCACGAACACTTTTCATGGGGACATTAATCAATTTAATTTATCAATAATTCAGACATTTTGACGGTACTCCCGTTTGAATAAGAAAAGTGCGAGGTTCTTTGGCGACCAGTGTAATTTAAAATGCATAAAAGCGCCCTTGAGTACTTATTTAAGCCAATAAGTCTCCGGTTTAATAGGAATTACTTCGAATGAAATTTTTGAAATTCTTGTATTAAAATTTTAAAATTATTAATGTTAGTTAGAATCCATCAATGTACTTTCAAGGTTTACTACCTTCATTCTGATTATGTAACATAATATCCATTATTGCAATTTTCTTCTTTTTTCTTGCTAATAAATATATACATTGCGAATTTCAAATACGTAACTATGGCTGTAACATCATGAAACATCCAAGGCATTGTTGAAATGAAAAAATAAAATCGTAAATAACTGAATAATTTGATTTATAGCTCCGAAAAAAATAAAAAAAAAACTAATGTTCCTACAAAACATTGAAGAATGGTTAACGTAAATGGTGGAGTGGTCTGGTGCTACAAAGACGATAGATGGATTCCCCTCCAGCTCTCCTCCATACGCCTCCACGGCGTCCTGACACAGGCCCACTGGGCCACGATCTCGGACTTCCTACGGAAAGTCGCCAATAAAGAATTGATTTTGCAGGAAAATGGTTTCACCGAACTCACCGAGAAGCACAAGGAACTCATGTTCCAGAACTCCAAAAATTCGAATACAGTAAACAGTGATAACGTGATAAATATTAGTGATAATGTCAACGAGCGTAAAGTGAGTTTAGGTCAAATTCCCGAGGACAAGATCGTGGAGCAACCTCGCAGGCCGTCCATGCCTGAACTAAGATCTTTAGATAAAAATAATTTATTTAATATTAATAATTTATTTCCGTCTGAGACTGAGCGAAAGAAGACTGATAAGTTATCAAACGAAAACGATGAGATAGTATTAAGATTGTTAAAAAAGTATTGCAAATACAGTAGAGACGCTTTAGATGATGAAATAGTCAGCGCGTTCGAGAGTATAGAGGGAGAAGTGATTCAAGATACTGTAATAACTAAGGTTGAAAAGGAATCGAAACCTAGGAGAAGGAAATTGGGATATGTACACACCGACGAGAAGATATACGAAAATTTGGATTTTCCTTTGGATTCGTTAGAAGAAGATAAGAATGAACACGTTATTCGGTGGCTCAAACAACAGAACAACCAGTTAACTTTCGACAATATCCCAACCAGACGCCACTCTGTAGATATCGGCGTTTCTTCTCCCACCGATAGCAGGAAAAGTAGTCTTCTGGAGAGGAAATCCTCCTCGTCGGGCTTCGAATCTAGAAAATCTAGTGTAACGACTCCGTCTACCCCCGAGAGTAGAAAATCATCTTGGTGTGATAGTACTTTGAACAGCAGGAAGAGTAGTGTGGGTTCGAACAGCAGTTGTTCGGAGTGCGACGAGGGCGAGGGACTCAGTCAGTGGCACAGGTTCCTTAAAAAACATTTGAGTTCGAAACATTCGGAAAAGCGGCTCAAGAAGCAGCGACAGGCGTGGAGTAGAAACAGACGGAAGTTGAGTTCGCCGGCCGATATTCAAAGCATCGATATCAACTTTCATTCGTAAGTATTAGATATTTTTTTCGCTATATCATTAAAAACTTTTTTTCTTAATCTGCAAGTGTAATTAAACACTGAAACCAAAATTGGTATATTATTCAACTAACATAATATAATGGTTATTTAAGAGAATATTGTAAATCCTTTGAGTTACCAGCCGGAATTGTAGGTTCTTCTGCAATTGCATTTGCAATTTTATATTTTTTGGTCTTAGGCATGGTGGAAAAATACAGGTGAAGCGGTATGAAATTCGGTCAGTCTTGCGCATGACGTCACTTTCGAAGCAAATTTTTATTATCCCTATGTCTTGAATGTTAAAAAGCGACTCTTTAAGTTATTTTAATATCTTCCTGATAGTGCTTAGAACTTTATAGATATATTTATCTTAAAATTAAATATTATTTCTATATACCAAGAGGTCTTTTAGTAATTATTGGTACGGATTATTCAATTAATTTCTATTTAAATTGATAGTGTAATTGATATAAAGTTAGGTTATGTCACATTTTTGCTTTATTTTAAAGATAAAAAATGGTTTCTAATTATTTTATTAATATTATTTATTATTGGTACATTAAATCTACTATTTTAGGGAGTATAGTTACTAGCAAAACGCCAGGTTGTGCAGTATTTGACTACAAGTACTAGCCTAGACGTAACATCCTCTTCATGTTTTGTAGTAGAAGAATTCAATTTCTGATGAACACTATCTTGTTAATTCTTAAGAGAAATGCATACCAACTGATGTAACATAAATATATTACGTTAAATTGGAAATAAATTACCTAGTTTTTGTATATAAAAGTGCACAAAATATATTTTTATTTTGCATTTCTTTTGCACAAGGTTTCAATATTTGCCTATAGTGAGTTTTCTTGTAATTTTCTTGTATTACTGAGCATAACTTATGTGTTATTTAGCAGTAATTTTCATTTAAATATGTATTTTCAGTTTTATGATTATAGAACTAGGAAATAAAAGAGGAGCATCATTAAAAACAGTGTTGCCAGGTCATAATATTTTTTTTCTTCAATGTTACCTGTCTAAAATTCAGTAGAAATCAGTAGGCAAATGAATTGCCTAATTAAAGGGGCAAAACAATTTTAACGTTGCAGTGGCTTCTCTTACGATTAGTGTAAACCATATTAAGACGAATTTTACACTGTTTTTACACTGTTTTTACTCGTTAGAATGTTAGACTATAAAATTAACAACCAAATCATATTTACAATAGAAAATCAAGCAGCAATAAGGACTATTTTAAAAATAGTTGATTAAGAAATGAAACATATTACAGTAAAAAAGTTTTACAAGAAAATTGTCAACAATACTCGCCGTGGATAGCTTATTTATTTGGTTAATTGTACTGTAAAACACCATCAGCCAGAAAACCCCAACAATTTTTATATATACCATACCAGAGCGTACACTGTATGGTATGTAACTTGAAACACACCACAAACAATGAACACCGAGGATTCCCTAAAAATTTCCAGGAAAGTTATAAAACAACACACTCTTGTCTTTATTGGAAAAATTATGTGCTCTGCTAACTTATCAATAAGACTTTATAGTGTTTTTCGTTAATAAAATTAAGGAAACTAAAAAATAGACACGGGATCATTTTAGGCTCATTTTAAGCTAATTCGATACCAACATAAAAAATATTCCACTCTAACCTCGAAAAACTAAAAATTCAGAAAAACGTTTTTTTTTTTTTTGTAAAAAATGTGCTGTTACAATTTTTTTCTTTGAAATGTTTGCCAGTGCTGTAGGTTTAAAGGTCCAATATTATAAGAACACAAATTTAAAGCGACCCTCTTAAAAAAAGTTGAGGGTTGCGTACTTTTTAACTATTCAGTATTTTTTATAAAGATACTTGCTTTATTGATCTTAAAATCAAAAAGAACTATGAATTTTGATATTTTTTTATAGCGAAATGAACTTTGTATCTCTCTTAGTTAACGAGCTTTTTACAATTTTTTAATTGAATTTCTAGAGCAATTCGTCCGTTCTGGACTTAGCATATAAACAAAACTAAGAGTAGGTCAGGAATTATTGAACAAAAAACGCACATAAAACTCAGTGCCGTCCCTAGGGCCGCGCTTGAGTTGTCCCCTGCAAAAACTATTTATATTTTTGTAAAAAAAGTTATTCATAATATTGGATTGGCACCATAAAAATGGTGTGCCACCCGCCCTCATGGGCTCATCATGCCACTGATAAAAATATACGTTAAGAAATACAGGGTGTCCCGAAATTAGACGGTCAAATTTTAACAGCATAATCTACATCCTAAAATAAGAATAAAAGTTCATATAAACATAGGTCCGATAACGTTTCGTTTTCGAGATACAGGGTGTTAAAAGTGAAGTCCTAATGACACTCTTTTGTAAATATTTTCTAAACATTTAAAGATAACTAAGTGAAATTTGGTACAAATGCTAACCTTTTTATGCTCTATTTAATGGACTAAACCCCAGTTTTTGATCTTCTTCATAGGTGGGTAAATTAGGGGGGGCTTAGGGTAAAATTTCCCTAAGTTTTTTTTGTTGACAGTTTTTAACATTTTTGACTATATAATTTGGAAAATCAATGTTTTTTTTATAATAAAGCTACATTTGTTGCATCTCGCTAGGACGCACCATTTTCAAGAAAAAATCATTTGAATATTTCATGATAAGTTTATGCTATCTTATTCGAAAATGTAAACAATAATTAGTAGGCCTGTGAAATCAGAAATTTTATTTTTTTTTACTTTGGAAAACCGGTGACGAAAGTAATTTTGTAAAATATTTACAAAAATGTGCCATCATGACTTCATTTGTAACACCCTGTATCTCGAAAACGAAACGTTTTCGGACCTATGTTTATATGAACTTTTATTCTTATTTTAGGATGTAGATTACGCTGTTAAAATATGACCGTCTAATTTCGGGACACCCTGTATATTTATTAAATTTAACAGTAATTAAAAAAATTATTTTTTTAATTAAACACTTAACAAAAAATTAACAATTAAAAATAAACTATTAACAAACACTTGACAATAATTATTATACATATTTTATAAACTAATTAATTTAGTAAATGTTCAACATTTCCTCCTCTTTCTTGAATACATATCCTACATCTTTTTATTATGAAAACCGAATATTTTGAAAAATATTCAGAAGTTGATTTTTAAATTCAATAGTAACTGAATATACGTCCTCTTTCATAATACCCCAAAAACCAAAATCAATTGGATTCATGTCCCGCGAACGAGCAGGTCAAGAAATAGGTGCATCTGCACCCCTTCCAATCCATCGCCATGGATAATTTTCAAAAAGAAGCTGCCTTACGGCTTGATTGAAATGGGCTGGCGTTACATCATGCTGAAGCCACAGGTATTGTCTTATGTCTAAATTTATGTCAGCCATTTCAGTATAGTATATTACATAACGAGTGTGAAAAATCACTTTTCACACAATACAATATTTTTCCTACGACCACAAAATAATTTCATCAAAAAATGTAAAACCATAGGTTATTATTATAATAATTAAAATGTATTTAAAAAAACTGATGTGTCCAACACACGACTTTCCTATCTAGTTATTATAGGCTTTTTCCGGTTATTTTGTACAACTTATTGCAGCACCTCTATAAATGTTTAGAGGATGAACTAAATATATACATTTTCCACGAAACATCTACCCCGAAACATTTGTCTATAGATATTCATTGAAAACGAAAATACTGAAAAATTTAGCACTTTTCCTACAATTTTTCCATTACAATCCATTTTAGAAAAATCATGTATAAACAAAAATTATAGAGATCGATATCGCAAACAACTTTTAGTTCAACAATTTTCATAAAAATCTGATGTGTCCAACACATGACTTTCCTATCTAGTTATTACAGGCTTTTTCCGGTTATTTTGTACAACTTATTGCAGCACCTCCATAAATGTTTAGAGGATAAAATAAATATATACATTTTCCACATACATCTACCTCGAAACATTTTTCTATAGATATTCATTGAAAATGAAAATACTGAAAAATTTAAATTTAGCACTTTTCCTACAATTTTTCCATTACGGTCCATTTTAGAAAAATCATGTATAAACAAAAATTATAGCGATCGATATCGCAAACAACTTTTATTTCAACAATTTTCATAAAAATCAGAATTTTGCACATTTTGTCAAATTTTTCGAATACGGACCATTTCAGGAAATTTTGACATAAAGCAAAAATTATAGATAATAATATTAGTAAATAACTTTTATTTGAACAATTTTTTTCTCCAAACATAAATAACATATATTCCATAAAATATAAAAACGGCCTCCTATAAAGTACCCCCCCAGATGTTCCGACTTTGTCCAAAATTTAATCATTTCACGTCAGGCCGAAATAAAACTTAAGTTTAAAATTTAATGTTTTTTTCTTTATCCGTTTTTGAGTTTTCTTCAAATTTCAAAATTTACACATTTTCCCAAATATCTCGAATACGGTCCATTTTAGAGAAATTATGTATAGGATAAAAATTATAGAGAATTATATTACAAACAACTTTTGTTTGAACAATTTTTATAAAAAAATATTTTTTTACATTTTGTCAAATTTCTCGAATACGGACCATTTTAGGAACATTTTGTATAGAATAAAAATTTTAGATAATAATATAAGAAGTAACTTTTATTTGAAGAATTTTTTTCTCCAAACGTAAATAACAGATATATTCCATAAAATATAAAAATTACCACCTATAAAGTACCCCCCCAGATGTTCCTACACTGCCCAAAATCTAATCAGCACATTGGACGCTGGAACAAAGCTTAAGTTTGAAATTTGGTGTTTTTCTGTGTATCGGTTCATGAGTTATGCGACACACAGACACACACACACACACACATCATCGCGAAAATAGTCAAATCGGATTCAGGGGACCTCAAAACGTAAAAATCCGTCGAAAACTCGAGGTCGAAAAAAATCATGATTCCTATACTT